GAAGTCAAGCTGGACACGGAGGGCACCAAGGAATGGAGAAAGAACCGCATTGTCTGACAGTGCTGGGGTCCCAGACATAGCCGGGCATCAGCCCAGGCCCCTCTTGTTTCCCAGCAGTCTATGAGGTGGGGTCAGAGCGGGCCTTGGAGCCGTTTCCTTCCAGTCCCACCTTCTGTGGAGGGGGCCTGTCCTCCCTAAACAGACACACAGACAGACTCAGAATGTGCATCTTACCAAGACCCCCAAGTGAGGTTTAGGTATACAGAAGGACCTTCTGGGGCGTACGTGCGTGCCAGGGTTGGGGGTATGCAGAGTGTAATTTTTAAAGACACGGATAGTGTTTGCGTGCTTGCGCCGTGTGGAGCTGCACTTGAACCCTGTCTGTGACTTGACACTTAACGCTCAAAGCCACTCTGCCAGCTGCATCACAGTGAGGGTTGAAGGGGGATGTCCATTAACAGTTGCCCCCCAGCCTGGTGTCCTGCAGGTCCTGGGGGGACCTCTGCTCCTTGTCATTGGTTCTAAGGCGGGGCACCTGACCAACATCAGCCCCTGGAACCTTGTAAGCATGTATGTTCTTGACCCCACGCCCACCTCCAGGCTCAAAGTGGGTGGGGTGGTGGAGGGGTGCTGGTCACCCAGCCCAAACCCCGACATCCTCCTTGACGCCACAGTCCCTGGCCCTCTGGGTTTTGCCTCCTAAGCAGTGGACACAGATGGGCACCCAACATCCCCCACCCCTGTGGTGCCCCCCTCTTGGAAATGCCTCGGGGCAGTGCATTCCTCCCTCTTTTCTGTGTGGGAACCGAGGGTGGGGACCTGGGTCTCCTCCCCACTGGGCTGGCGCTCATCCCTATTAGGGTGAGGGCTGTCAGGAACAGAGGCTACAATGGTTCTGGTAGGGTGGGAGAAGGGCGCCTGAAGCTAGCCCAGGGTCTTCCGGGGTCTGGCCTTAGAGTTGCATGGAGAATAGGGAGTGGAATCACCTGGGGAGTGCTGGATTTGTTCAGATAAGAAATGCAGACACAGGTGGAGGCAAGTGTCTAGCACAGTTCTCTGAGCCCAACACCAGCTTAAACTGTTGTCATTGAAGGTCAGTCTCCGCCTCTGTCCCCGCCCCCACACTGCCTCAGCCCTTGAGGGTACTGAAGCAAATTCCTGATGCCCTATTGACAGGTGAAAGCCAATTTCAGTGTCTCACCTTGAAAAGACAAGGGATTTTTTTTTTACAAATCTTGCCTATAAAGAATTATAAGAATTTTTTAGATTTATAATCTTTAGGGTGTGTTCCTATTTCCCATGCGGCTATGTGTTTTTCTCCTGACAAATTACTCATTTACACCTGTATCTAACTACGGTGGCTGTGGAGTCAGGGCCTTCCCACTGCTCTTTTGCTTTCCAGTCCCCAGACCTTGTGGTGCTCCCCATCTGCCACTTACATACGGGCTCCTTCGCAAGACCACAGACACCCCCCCCCCCCGAGCAAATGCTCTTAGGGATGAGCCAGGTGGTGGTTGGTAAATGCCGTGGGACCAGTTTTCACTCAAATAGCAACCATGCTTTAGGGTCACCAAGGAGCGGCTGGTGAGTTTGGATCACTGACTTGACAGTTGAAACTGACCTTGTGGTCCAGTGCTGATTCCATAGTGCCACACCAGGACTCCACAGCACACCCCGTGGATAAGCCATGGAACCATGAGACCTCATGCTACAATCCAACACCGCATCCTGTCACGTTACCTGATTCTGAAAACATGTGACGCAGAGGTCCTTGGGCATAGAGTGGAAGGGGAGAAGGGGACTGCCCAGTGAAACTGTTGGAACTGAGGTTCCCACTTGGATATCCCAGATCAGAGTGGCCTCACCCTCTTTGGCAGGCACTTGGTTATTCCTGATGGACTCCAGGATTAAGTGATTGGTACCTGGGATATGGGTCCCTGGTGCTAGGGGACCCAGCAGTTGGAGTCACTGAATTGTGTTGCCCAGCTGTCCAGCCTTATCCGGTTCCTTTTGTCCACGGTTACAGACATGCCGTCAGCTGATGTCAAGCAGACCCACCTTGATGCCATGCTGAATCAATCCCAAAGGAGGGTTAGGGTTCCCCTGTGCGTGTCCTCTGCCCCTCCCTGGAACTGTCCTCATGGGCTTTGGGAGGGAGGCCGAGAAGCATCAGGCTTTGAGCTCCTTGGTGTTCTGATAGCTGGGGATGCCCCCAGGATCCAGCTTTCTACTGACTGCCATGGGCCTAGATCCTCACCAGGTGGCACTGTGGCTAGAAGGAGTGGGGTGGGGGTCTTCACAGGGCTGTCTGTTGGCTAAGTGACCTACCTCGTCCAAATTGTCGGCCCCCAGAGCTCACCACCCTAGAATTTCCACGATTCAAGGAGGAACCTGGCACGCCCCTCACACTGTCTGTCTGTCTCGCCCTGCTGCTGTTAGAGGGAAGGGGAAGGGATTGGTGAGAAGGCCTCGCCCACCTCTGCTCCCTTAGCCTTTCTACTTAGTAGCCAGGAAGCTGAGCCCGTCCAGCCTGGGCGTAGTCACTTGGGGTGGCAGCTCCAGGCTGTGTCCCCTGTAGGTGCAGTGTTCTCAGGGCAGTCCTGCCTGGAGCCATACTGGGAGGTAAAGTGCAGGAGTGAGAACAGCGACCCTAAGCCTTGTCAGCTTCTCCGGGACGTGTGGCTTATCCTGTCCCAGACATTGGGAGTGCCCACCCAGCCTGGTCTCTGTGCCCGGGAGTCCTCAGTCTGGTGTGGGGAGGAGGAGGCCAAGTGGGTGCTACGGCTTTCACCCCGCAGTAGGAGCTGCTCACGCTGGAGATAGGCGGGATGTTGATGGAAGGGGTGCCCTATGGAAGCAGTAGAGTGCTAGGGGTGTTCATGAGAGCAGAGGGCCTACATGGGGCAGTGCGGAGCATGCGTGGGCCGTGGTCAGCTTTGTCTTGGAGAGAAGTGGCTCTGACCGTGGTGTACAGGGAGATTGGGCTGCTCTCCAGCTGTGATGGGGGGACTAGGTGGTAGCCTGGATAGGAAAGGAGGGTGACCTTTTGGACAAGCTGAGGTGGAAAGACTCTGCGGTGCTTGGAGAGTTGTTGGGTCTAAGTCTGGAGTAACGTTAGCTCAGAAGAAAGTGTGAGAAGAGATGTAAGCAGAAGCAGAATAACCCAGCAATGGAGAATTCAGTGGCATTGATGGGAGTGGTCCTGGAAGGTCACTGCTTGTCGAGTGACACAAGGTCTTAGGGCAGACAAGCTGACGAGTGGGGGACAGGAGGTTTGGTGAGGCCTTCCAGGAGATAATGACAGATGGGCACCCCCAGTGCCAGAAGCTTGGAGGAGGTTGGGATATGGGCAGTGGTGGCCTTGGCCCAGACAGCCTCCGTCCTTTGAAGCCCACTGAGCCTGTGGTGAGGGCCCATTAGAAAGAACTTCAGGATCCACCGTGGGGGCAGGGCAGCTGACCAGAGCTGGCTTTTCACAAGGCCCCTGGGTGTGGATGTGGTGGGTGTGGAGGCTCTGACCTGGCGTTTTCCATAGCTGACCAGGGAAAGGCGAGGTGTACCACTGACGCCATCCTGGGCCTGGCCTCTCTGGCCACCAGGGAGGTGTTACCCTTGGCCTTGCCAGTCCTTGTCTGTTATGGCCTATGATGTCCACGGGCCCCATGTCGGCCACTAGGTGGCATGCTTGGCTCCACTACCACCTCTGCCACCCCAACACACACATAGCTGAGAGGACTTGTCCTGGGGTGTTGGGGCTCGGTCAGACTTGCCTTTCAGTCTAGGCCCCTCCAGTGACTGAGCATGAGTCAGGTGTGTGTCTCTCTGGCTTCTGAGGCTCCTGGTAGTTCCCTTATCTCCAGGGTGTCAGCACAGTGGGGGGCAGGCCCAGTGAGGAGCGAAACCTGAGCTTGAGGCCACGAGGTTCCCGGACGCTAATTTTAGCGAGCACATGTCACGGGAAACTGTCCCCTCCTGCCAGGAATCAATGGCCTGGCTGTGTCCATGCTGCCAGGCGCTGGGGCTTTGCCCCAAACCAGGAAGAGCCAGCAGAGCTCATTGATGGAGCAGCCCCCTCAGGGCTGAGGGCTGAGAGCTGAGGACTGGACAGGAGGCGGAGTCTGCCTCCTGGCGTCCTTGGCTGTGCTGCTTGGACGGCCTGAGCTAACCAGGAGGCATCAGTTTGGGAGCCAGCATCTTTCAAGAACACACACTTTACTTTGGAAGTGTGTTAGGCAAAGCTGGGTGTTCCTTCTTCTATGGGCCACCTCCAGCTAGCTTGCCTCCTCGGAACCTCCTGGCTGACCTGGGTCTCCTCACCAACTTGACCTCCTTTCCCCAGGGGACCTCTGGCTTGTGGAGGAAGCTGTGCTGTTCTCCTTGCCAATGGGCATCTCAGAGGAATGGAGTAGGTCATTCCCTCTGCTTGGGGACCAGAATCTGGCCCAGCTGCTACTTCTTTGCTGATTTTGCTCCGGTTGGACATCAGACAGGCTCCTGGGTCCTGTCCCCTCATATGAGTTCCAGCATGGAATGGCTGCTTGTAGGAGTGGATGTGAGAAAGGGAAGGTGGGACTGAGTCTCTGCCTTCTCTTATGGGGGACCCTGGGGACTGTTAGCCTGAATCCCCACCAGACCCAGTTCTGGCTTTTGCCCTTGGACAAGATGCTGTGTCCTACGAACCCTTAATAATCTCCTTTGGAGAGTGAGGATAGCTGTTGAGAGTATTAAACCACGCTGAGCTCCTCTTGTCCATGTCTGCCATCCCCCCACCCCCGGGGGTGCGTGGGGGAGACTGAGTCTTCAGAGTGGGCACACCTCACGGGCCCTCCCTTCCCCCTTTGGTCCGGATTCAGGCCAAAGGCCTTTCCATTCAGCAGCCCTGGTAATCTTTAAGAGGGCTAGTATGCGCTGGAGCACAAGGTGGTGGGGGCGCATGGAAAAGAATGAACGCCAACAATTTTCCTCTTTGTCTCCCGCTTCCTCCGGTTTGTAAATTGTAGCCTGCTTCGACGCCTGGTGACTCTTATCTCCCAGCAGGCCACACTGCTGGCCTCCAATGAAGCCTTTAAAAAGCAGGCGGAGAGTGCTAGCGAGGCAGCCAAGAAGTACATGGAGGAGAACGAACAGTTGAAGAAGGTGTGTCCGCCCGCCCCTTCCCATGATGCCCCAGGGTGTGGCGCTCTACTGCATCATCCTCTTGGGTCTGGCAACAAAGAGTGGGTGCTGCGGGGGGAAGCTGTCTGTGGGTGCAGATACAAGGCATGGGGCTGCCCAGGAGCCAGTCTGAGTGGGCTCAGATGGCCTTGCTGCCCACTCCTCCAGGCGGGACTCCGCTTTGATACAGTAGCCCCAGGTGGACCAGCCCTGAAATGTGACCTACCCATCTAAGGAATATGGGGTCTGCTTGTCAGCCAACCTCGGAGGGAAACGGGGACTTGGGATCTGGGGTGAGGTCAGAGGGACAGAATGAGACTGATTAGAGATCTCCAAGGGCGCTTGATGGTTAACTGAGGCACTGGGGAAGAGGCGGGTGGGCCTGCAGTCCGTGGCCAGCGCAGCTGGTTGTGCTGGTGTTTGCCCCTCCCTCAGCAGGCCAGCCTAGTTCTGCTCTTAGACGTAGCTTAGTGGTCCCGTTCTAGGCTGACATTTCTGAAGGGGGAATGTCCCGAGCAGCCGCATGGCGCGCGGAGGGCTGGAACCTCTCACTCCCTGTTGAGTAAGCCCAGCCCTTGGCTCTTTTCCTAGGAAACTGGTATTGACAGAGGCAAGCTGCGCATCGGGGAAGCTGAGGTGAAGGTGGAGGAAGAGAACAAGAGCCTGAGGGCTGAGCTGAAGAAGCTGAAGGAGGAGCTGGCCGACAACAAGCAGAGTGCGAATTCTCCCCCACTCCCAGCCCCGGTTGGCTGGGGCTGCCCTTCTTGTGCCAGAATGTTTTTAATAACAAAGCCTCACAAGCCATGCAGAGTGGAAACCGACCCTAGCTTGGGAGCTGGGTGAAAATCCACATATCGTGCCCCGTTCCTTGAGCCACTGGGGACTTCTGTCAGGTGATGCCGGCTTGGAGCCCCAGGTGGTGAAGACAGATGCCTGCCAGGGGCTCCAGAGAAAGGGAGACTCAGACTAAGTGTTAAACTCCAGAGAGGGTGTAGGCAGGGATTTGTGACTGTGGGTTTGTAGGTGGTTTCTGGAAATCAGGCAGAGAATAGGTCTGGAACTGTCCTAGGGGTCTCTGAGCCACCATGGGTCTGGCTTTTTGATCCTTGCCTCCTACTCTCACCCCCAAACTTCTCCACACATTCCTCTCCTTGAAGTGACCCCTGTAGAGAGCCGCTTGCTCTCTGCTGTCAAAGTGAGGGGTTCCCTTCTGTGGTTGGCTCCATCTGGGGGTGAGGTATGACCCCAGACATGGAGCCTTGTGCTCCCTGACTCCGTCCCATCTTTCTCCTCCTGCATGGGCATCATTTCCAGAATTGGAGAAGGCTGAGAATGAGGCGCTGGCCATGCGGAAGCAGTCGGAGGGCCTGACCAAGGAGTATGACCGGCTGCTGGAGGAACACGCCAGACTGCAGGTCAGTGTGGCTCTGCCAGCCCCGTCCCCCGTCCCCCGTCCCCAGGCTCTGACTGCAGACACTCCCAGGCTGCCAGCAAGGGGGGCACCAGCACGAACAAAGCTGAGGTGCTGAGAGCTGACCTCTGGCCTTTGTGCCTTACAAGGGCTTGGGCAGAGGCAGTGGCTCGGATGGCCTGCCGGGGAGCCCCAGTGAAGCAGCTCCCTACTTGCTCTGTGACTCCACTTGAAAGTTCAGGTGCTCCTGATATTGGGCGTGATAAGACACAATCCCAATTGTCTGGCAACTGGCCTTCATGGCCAAAGTTTGGGGGGCCCGAGAAGCTGAGCAGGGGCCCAGGTACGCGGGGACAGCAGTGTGTCAGAATAGGAGAGGCTCACAGGGTCCAGTCACTAGCAAAGGGGCTCAGATACTGAGCTGGTTGTGGTCTGGTGGGCTGCTCCTGAGGGGCGTTGGGTGAGCCTCTTGCTCTGTGTTGACAGCCTAGAGGAGTTGGTATGATTTGCACTTAGAGATACCTAGATCATCCAGGCAGGCACAGGACAAGACCACATGTGCGGGTACTCGGCATGGAGAGGGGCTGGTGGTAGTAGACAACCTCCCCACCCCCGGCCCCTCTGCTCTCCTGGACCCTGTCACTGAAGGCCTTGGGGGCTACGGGCTGAAGGTGGAAGGCGTGGGGTGGGTGATGTTTGACAATTTGTTACTCTGGGCTCTCTGTCCCCTCCAGGTGGCGATTGATGGTCCTACGGACAAGAAAGAGGAGTAAGGAGAGGCGCTCCAAGATCCTTGGCCACTGCCGGCTGCTACCTGGCATGTGCTTGCTGCGGCACCACAACTCGAGGCCTTTGGCCTCCCAAGATGCACTTCCATCGCTTGTACCCCTTCCTAGAGGCCCCTTGTCCTCTTCAGTGTCTGCTAGAGGCCTGGTCTCTGCCCGCATTGGCCCTGAGCCCGGTTGTTGAGCCCCCCTGCCACGCTTCAGCGGGGTGCGGGGCAATCAATAAAGATTGTTGTTATGATTTGAATGGTGTTTTGGGAGCTGGGGTGTGGGGGGCCAGGTCGACAGCATCCACCAGCCAGGGGCTTCAGCTTTAGGGTCGGGAACTGCTGGCTCGGGAGAGTGGGCTCGTGTTTGCTCTGGAAGGCTCTTCCCGTCTGCCATGCCAGCCAATGGGGCTGAGGCCCGCTTGCTGGCAGCCTGGGAGTGTCTGCCTGTCAGTCCCTGGGGTGGGAGGGTGTTGGCAACTGGAGCCAGGGGACCGGTGAGAGGCAGGCTCAACTCCGAATTCCTGTTCCTCACATTTGGGAATGTGCCACCAGTCACTCCCTGCCCCACCCCGTCTTGAAGGTTTACAGCATGACCTCTGACTAATACGACTCTAAGAGGCGGCTTGTCCTTGGCTGTGACCGTGAAGAGGGGGTGGGGGTGGGTGGGTGCAGATTCCGCTGCTCCAGTCCCCAGGAGCAGGCGGGTCCCAGAAGTCACCCGCTGAGGTGATTCAACATCATTGAGGTTTCTCAGTCACCCATGACTTCCCCTGCACCCAGGCCTGTGCAGGGTCTTGGCCTCTGCCAAGTTTGGTGTCCACACAATGACCCAGAGGGGCTGGGGGAATCCTTCTCCGAAGGTGTTGAAGCTGACACAGTGGCTGATAGTGTCAGCGGGTGGCAGTCACACACACCCCCCCCCATGTGGCCTGCCTTCTCCCTTCTCAAGTGTTCCTTTCCCAACCACTGCCAGGTGCTGTCAGCAAGGCAGCCTGTGACGTGTGCTCCAGGTGTGCGGGCCACAGCCCAGGCCTACTAGGCCGAACCTTCCAGGAAGTGGGCCTTGACTCCCTAGGCCGCCCTGAGCTGCTAAAGGCCAAAGTCCAAACCGCATGCTGCCCAAGACCTCCTCGTCAGCAAAAGGGCTGCTGCCATGCCCATCTGCGTCAGTCTCTGGGTGCTTGGTGGGAGGGAGGGGCACGGACTCATTCCTCAGGGACAAGAACTTTCCGGAGTCTTCACCATGGGTGGAGAAGGGTGGGGACGGTGAGCAGAACTCAGTGGCCCAAGGGACTGTATGGAGAAAGAAGGAGCACTGGGGGATGGGCTGGAGGTGAGGGTCAGGCCCACCCCATACTTGGTGTAGTTGGGAAGGGAAGTTTGGGAGTGAGTTGTGTGGTGGAGAGGTGACTGCAGGTGCGAAGAGACTGAAGGTGCAGACCCCTGCCCTCCAGACTGGTCTGGATTTGTCACCTCCCTTTTGGAGCCCCACTCATCAGGATTGGCTTCCAATCCCAAACAGCTCCAGGCCACCACTCTCACTGCCAAACCCAGCGGGATTCCCTGGCCTCGGCACATGACCCTCACCAGCATCTGACAACTGATCACTCCCTCCTCCTTGCCATCAGAGAGCCTCATTCAGGTTCCAGGAGGCCAGCCCCTTCCCAGTCTCACTCCGTTTCCAGTGGACGCTCGGTCCTTGGGCCTCTTCACTCCACCACCCTTGTCCACGTCCCTGGGTGAGTTCAGACAAGCTCATGGCTTTGTATGTGCCAACACGGCCCCAGTACCTCTCCAGTCCAGACCTGTTTCTGGAACTCCAGACTCCCTTGTCCATCTGCCAAGGGACATCTCCGCTCAGATGACCCACCTGCACAACCCACCCAGAGCAGACTCCCCATCGGCCCCTCCAAACCACCTCCTCATCTCCCCACGGCAGCACGCGGCCACTCCATCCTGACAAATCTCTCTCAGTCCTGCATGCTGTTCATCCGCAACCCCC